GTAACTGTATAAATTTAAGATTCTAACCATTTTTATCGGCCGATTTGGGATAACGAGAATGAATAAAAATTTCCCATTACTACTCATATTGTCCTGTTTCCTATTTTAAACGCTTTTTGGTTGAAATATTTTCTGAAAAAATGCCGATTTTTGCCATAATCCAGAATTTGCCCGGAAAAACAGGCCTTGAAGCGCATAAATTAATATACAGACAATTCTTTTGTACCATCTGGCCATCTGACAAATTTTATGACAGCCCAATCGGGATACAACTTAACCTCATATCCGCCAGATTGTTTATTTTCACATTTGCCCCACAAATTGTGCATACTCCCAGGTAGCACAACTGACCAATTAGACGTCTGCGAGACGTCCATATTTAGTCATTTTTGGTCAGTACGTCAATTGACTTAGAAAAGACGTCTATTAGTCAGATATATATGGACGTCCAATGGACCGCCGAGGGTGGTCATTTTTTAGTCACTAAAATAAGCTTTATTTCAGACGTCCTTATGTTCACTAAATGACGAATTGCCTGTCTGTCAGCATTGCCTATCCTGCTCCCAACACTATAGTCAGGACACAAAATTCATTTATTTCTACTTTGTTCTTTCCTATTTCTGTTATTATAAATATGTTTATCATTTATGGCTGTTTTCCTTGTTTCTGCTATAATAAATATTTTTATCATTTATGACTATGTTTTTTTTCTAATAACGTCAATACATATACCTACATGTTCCCATTTTGTTTCTAGGTCAGTATTAAGTTTGTGTTTGCCAGCGTTACATCATTTTAAAGGTAGCAGTTACAGGTGCAGTGACTTTTAATGTAGTTTGGCAAAATATACCTTGCTACGAATAATAAATTCACAGAAGTAAAGCCTGTGTCTCATGCATCCGTTTATATGATGATACGATGATACGAAAGTGTTTCTATTGGTTGGAGATCTGCGAATTCTTCCGCCAACCAATAGAAAGACCTTCGTATCATTGTACCATCGTATAAGCGGATGCATGGGACACAGGCTTTACAATCATGTTGTAATTCATAAATCGAAATTCCCGCTTCTATTTAATTTA